TCAGTGACATGCTAATCCACAGTTTGATTTAGTATACAGTGTTTAATTTATTATGAAGAAAAAGGAACAAAATAATAAAAATAAAAAAAAATTCTGAAGGAACCCTGCATTCAAACCTCTTCCCTTCTTACATTAAGGACGTTAAATATAAAATGAGCAAGACTGGTGTGAGTTTGCTGCATGAACAAATAATTTCTGGCCATTACTTTATTAGCTGCATTTTCTGGAAATATATTCTAGAAAATCTAAAGGGAGAAAGCACATATTTTTGAATAAATCTGGACAAATTTTCAACTAATTCTAAATGAACAGTGAGCTTTTTTTTACAAGGACAGTGATCCCTAATTATGTTAATGGAGGAGATGGTCTTTTGTGTAAACGGGGTGTGATTTGATTGTTTTAGTAAGAAAAAAAGGGGCTCCTTTCAGCCTTTATCTCATTTCTCAGTATGCTCTGTCTCTCCTCCATGTCTTTGCTCATTCCACCTGATGTGAGGGAAAAAGGCAAGGTAGGACTAGAGGCAACATGCATTAAACAAATGAGACAACTTTGCAGCTGTCATTTTAATCTACTGTCAATTAAATATGCACAGATGCACTATTTATTCACTGTTTAGTTACAGCCTGCACAATCCTATTAATTCAGTCAGATAACATTGCATGGACACTTACAACTAGATAAAAACACAACATGTAGAAGTTTTTTACATCTTCCTCATAGGCTAAACTACTAGCATGCATCTTCACTCAGTGCCCATCATAAGCGTCACCTTTTCTCCTGATATGTTTTTGGACCTGAAACATTCTTTAAGATTATTATATTGAGATTTAATACCAGGTCCGTGACAAGAAAAGAGGGCAGAGATAAGACATGACCCAAACAAAACCAACATCCCTTTCATAATGTGTTTGAGTAATTTACTACAACCTTCCTGCATCTGTTTCTCAACAGTACATTTCTCACAATCAAATATTAAGTGGTAAGATTAGTCCAGCTTCTAGTAGCCTCCAGCAAATATTTAATTTTTATATAAATACAATACAGACAATGTCTCAAAAGTGTAAATAACATTAATACGATTGCATAACCATTCTGCCAAATTTTTGCAAAGTTAATCTAAACAATGAAAGCCAGCTAACACTTAAGTCCCTTTCAGCTTTGCTGCTATGACAGAATGTGTCAGCCGGGTGTCTAAATGAGCATCCTGATGTTTTACAGTGACTGTTTGCCATGTCTGTAATCTGTCAGACAAAATAAACCAGCAACGTTTTCGGTTCATTTGGCTTTTAGTCCACTTCAGCCACACAGTGAATGTTATAAAATAAACAAATAGTGTGTTTCAAAGTCTATGTGTGTTTATTTGTACAATTATTACCTTCTGCAGATGGAAGATTTTGTTTTAAAGAACCCATATGGTACAGTACTGTCACTACTGTGCTTTACTGTAGGAATAATAATAATAATAATAATATTAACAATAATAATAATGTGTTTTGTGCAGTCATCATTGTATGCTCCCATACAATGGTGAAATTGGCTCTCTACATTTGACCCATCTGCTCCTGGGTGGTGCGGTGGGCGACTGTTGGGGGTGCCCAGGGGGTGATTGGGGATGGGGTGTGCTGCTCAGAGACACCACAAGATGTGCAATGACTGGGGATTGAGCCTGGGACTTTTGAGTCCCGAGTCGGCTGCTCTGCCGCTACCCCATCTCAGCCCCCAAATAAAACTACTCTAACAATAAGGATTGCCACTAATTTAGATTTTTGCTCAAAACGGTCACTTCCTGATTTATGAGCTAATTACTTTTTGTCGGGTTATTTTGGTTTTTCCTTCAAAGCCTGCCTACACTCGATAAGGCATAGTACAACAAAACATTATCTAATTCTTCAATTTCCGGTAATATAATTGGCCTTGTTGCTGCTTTGTGCTTTATAAATAAAGTGGTATGGTATAGCTAAACAAAATAGTTTAGTTACCTTCAAGTACGGCAATAAGGAAGAGAAAAAAAAACATACCAATACCATACCTGTAGATAATATAATATAGCAATATAATATAGTATAGTATATAGTATAATATAGTAGAAAACACTTCTTTAGTTTACCTTTGACTTGCAAAGCCTTGCCTGGAACCAAGGAAGGCCCGTCCAGGAGGTTGCCTTATTAAAAGTAATTTCTCCCAACCTTGCCTGGATGCAAGCCACCACACCCACTCAGCATTCTACAAACACTGCCATCTAGTGTTAACATATTACTATGACAAAATGAAGAACACCATTTCTAACTTGGTTTAGTGTACATTATAGTGCCAAGAGCTTAAAACGTCATAAAACCTTTATATTTATTAGCAATACTTACATAAATATTCATCCAGATGTGTCAGCATAATGTGAACTTACTAATTATATTCTACCCATTTAGTACCGTTGCTTTAAACATTTTACACAACACTCTAGAAACCTATACTGAAATATTTTTATCATGAAACTTCCACATTTATTGTCTCAGTGAGAAGACAAGCAAAGTAAGCATTTCCTGGTGTAAGGCACAAGCACCTGTTCTACTGCACTTCTAACAAAAGTGGTTTCTTGATTGATTTTCTAGTTGTCTGCAGAGTTTACTTTACCGTCATGGTTGGGTTATTGTCGTGACATGTGGTGTTGATTGTAAGACCTCATAACAGCAGGTGTGTGCCATTTTTTTTACAGTCTGTCTACTTGATTCAAATCCACCTCTGGACACATCTGTGTTAGTAAAAAGATATATAGGATGCAAGTGGATACAGCTGTTTTGTGCCAACACAAAATAATCAATATGCCAGTGAATGAGATATGACAGTTCTTAATTTGTAATAGAAAAACTTTTAAAAGTAGGTTTGCACTGTTCATATTTATGTATAGGATAGTAAATAAAGCAATATAAATTTATTTAGGATCAGAATAATGGTTCTGTGATATGGGTGTAAGATAAGCCCATAGTCCTCCATTGAAGAAAAAAAAGCAGGGCTGTCATGTTTTGAGCGCAATAACTCAAAGAATTAGGGAGGTACCAACTTGCATTTTGTTCTGTGGGTGCATCTAGATGTAAGAAATATTCTTTTGGAAAAACTGACATTACGCAAACTATAAGATCATTCCACTCTCGTGGAAATGCAACCCAGGGTGAGCTAACCTCGGACAAACAAACAAAGATAACTGTAATGGCGGGGGTAGTGAAGCTCCCGGCATTACTTGAGGCATTTAGTGAGGCATTTCTGTCTTATCAGCTAACATTAAAGCAAAAAAAATAGGCAAAAAAACAAAAATATAATTCAAAGCTACTAATAACTTAAAATGGTTACTGCAGAAGATGTTTTCATGCTGCAGTGCTACACATGACAGGAATTTATAGTGGAAATCAGTATGTATTGAGAGCAAATTTTACATTACAAAACCTTTTAAACACTGTGAAAAACCGGTGTCATGTTAACAGATCATAACAAACAATCTAAAGTTGCATCATATATCTACATACAAAACACACAAAACAAAGCACAACTATCATTAAGCATCAACCTTTAATTTAACCATGTAGTTATGACAAAAAAATGGAGGATTTACCTGCAGTTACCTTCGTACAGACGAACATGTGGTAGTTCCCGTTTATCACTGTCATAGTCAGCAGCTCATGAGTTCTGCCTCTGGCATTTATCCATTTTTTAAAAATGTTTTAAACTCCGTTTAAGTTTTGGAAAGGGAATAAACTGTATTCTACCCTCTAAATGTTCAGGATCATGCTGTCTGAATAACATGTTCCCCACTGACAATGTTTAAATCATTTTTCTGATGATTTTTCATGAAATTTCTATGACCACAAATGGTTTAACTTAGGGACAAATTGTGATCGCTGACTGGCCAGTTGCCTGTCCAGTTGCCTGTCCAGCCTACTGGATTGACTGACAGATGGCATCATGACAAAATATCCACACTACTGTCTGACACCACTACATACTGAAGGAGACCATGAAGCGGGACCCAATCATCACATACAAAAAGAAGATCACAGACAATACAAAGCAATATTTAGCTTTCTTGTAGTTCTTGCCACTTTTCCAGCTAGATATGCTTAAAAGAAAAATATATTTGTGCTGTGACCTAGACACAGAAGCAAAATACTTTGGCGCACAAGACATTTGGCATGAAATCGAGTACATGGTGTAAAGTCTAAAGATGCAAATATCAGAACTTGGCTCAATTATTATTTTTTTCTTTCATTGATTTTTCCACTTTTCTATTTTTAGAAACAAACTGACATCAGTAAACTGAATGGATCACTGGCATCTATCAGAACGTCAAAGCCGAAAAACAGCATTTTTGGTGTCAGATTAGGCAAATATTAATGTTTTTAGTAATGTCGCTCTAAATCCATGACCCTCTCTTCTGTCTGTGTTAACGTCACAAGAGCGCTAAAGCTTACATCTGGCAGATAAAACATGTTCAGCACTTTTACTTGCCATTAAGCATAAAAAAAACATTTTTAACTGTAAATCCCTCCACTTCTATCTGTTCTGTCATGAGTATCATTACACAAACATGAAAAAAACATTTTATCCTTTTTTAAATGCCCCTTTCATCCTTCCATTCCATTCCTGGATCATTCCATTATCCTCCTTTCCTCTTCAAGTCACCCTCGTCATTGCTCTGGGTGATAACTTTGTGTCTCTGAGTCTCATTTCTTCTGCCACTGATGGCACTCTGTCAACCTTGACTGATGTATTTCCACTAAAGGTGAATTGTGAGTTTATGACTGCTGCACAGAAGACTCCACTCAAAAGGTCATGGGTGCATCGACTCAACGGAGTTGATATTATGTATGTTGCCTGTCACTGCTGTATTTATACAAACCCTATGCTGTAAGCTGCCACCGACCTGTGTACAAAGTTGCAGCCAAGGGTATTTTGCGAAGTGCTGTAGCAATATAATGTTCCAGTGGAAAGCATGCTTTCAGAGTGTGACCCACCTGTTTTATGTTTTCATCTTTGGCATCTTTCTTCCCCTGCACTCAATTCCACACTCCTCCTCGTCTGTGTGTGCACATTTCTCCACCTTTAATCAAATAAAGACACATTCAATGGTTCGGAATTCATCCCAACACATCAAACATGCATATGGTTCCCCGGTGGCTAATGTGCTGGTCCATGTGTCATTTGCTCACGCTGTGCTGTTGCTTTCTGCTCTTTCTCCCCCTCTGCACTCACTTCAGAGTGCACTGTTTCATTACTGCTGAAATGCTTGGGGATGCTGCAATGCATAAATCTTCCAAAGAGAGAGAGAGAGAGACAGAGAGATGCATACAACTATTTCTGCTTTTAAGTTGACCGAAGAAGAAAACACGGACCAGACTGGTTGGATTAAAGACATTAAAATGTGTGTGCATAATCAGCTAAGCCCCGTTTTGTTTGGCTGTGAAAATCACAGCACCAACATGTTGAGTTTGATCCCAAAACCCCGCCTTCTGGGAAGCACCGAACAGAAAGAAAGGAGGGAGGGGATGGGGAGAATTCATTTTAAGCCTATTTGAGCTTATTTAAATGCTGCACATCAAGTCCTAGAGGTGTTTAAAAAAGAGGAAAAATGTTTTTTGTCTTAGCGCAATGACTTTTTATTGCTAAAAAGCAAAAGTGACCAGACCATCGTGACTCTTTTTATCCTGAATCAGCTATCATTGAGCTTCAGAACAAAGCTTCATTCCTTGTAGCCACTAAAATCAATCAAATCACAAACCTATAAAAATCATACTTAATATAATGCTTTTTATTAAACTAGACCTCTTGAAAGCTTCTGTTATGATGAGGAGAAGGTGGCACATATTCAGCATGGGGGCACGGAGCAGATGGTGATCTGTCCAACTCACGCCAGGTGGAAATGGAAGAGGCTGCACATGCAAACATCCTCCACCACTTAACCCCCCCCCCACACACACACACGCACGGAGGTCAAATGGAGGTCATTAATACTACAGGTCTCTCTTTGGAGACAAAGATATATGTTTTATACAACCCTACACTAGGACGCTGTGTAAAATGTAAATAAAAACAGAATGCAAGAATTTATTAATCTGATACAGTAGTACCTCGTTTATCATGTGCAGTGGTGGGATGTAACTAAGTCAAATACTTCGTTACTGTACTTAAGTACATTTTTCATGTATCTGTACTTTACTTAAGTAGAGTTAAATGTGGGTACTTTATACTTTTACTCCACTACATTTTACATCAAGTATCTGTACTTTCTACTACACTACATTTCTATAATGCGTTGCATTACAAGTTACATTCATGTTGCGGCTTTTTGATTTGTTTGTTACTTTGAAAGTAACCAATGGTGAGAGGGGAGCTGGTCCAGTGAATCACTGCAAAGTGGGCAGGTAACATTAGGCCCACCTTCAAGAAGAGCTGGGCCAATGACATATATTCTAATATATATGTCACTGAGCTGGGTGCACCTGCAGCACCGCTAACCCAACCAAAATGTATTCCACCGCAAGAGAGTCACCCAGAAGATATGCTCCACCCATGGCCTTATTGAAAGACTGCTCAGTACAACAGGACAGCGTCTCTCTCCCAAAAGAGCCAGACTGGACTCAAAAATATTTGAAAACAACTTCTTCTGAACTTGAACAAGAAATTCTTGCTGCAATATTAAAATGTGTCCGTTCATGGGATGTTAGGAGACAAGAGGTGTCTCCAAATGTCTCGACACTCGGGTCCAAGTTTTAAAAATGGTGTCAGGAAGTTAAAATATTGTTCAATATTGACCCATTACAAGGTTGAATAGACAGTATTTTAAATAGAGTTGAAGACAAACTGGAGTTGACATATCAGTGGAAATGATCAGAGCCTGTTCCTTTGTTAGTTGTGTCTAATGCTCCTTTTTTCAGGCAGACAACTTTGACTTAAATGTGTTTACTGCAGTTAAAATGACACATTGGTTTTGCTTTGTGTTAAATAAAAAACTTTCAAAGGTATAATCATTCCTCTTTCTTATTTTGATTAATGGCATTTAACTCTACAGGTCATCCCTGAAATTCTGATGCACAGAATCACAAGTCCAAGTGTGAACTGTGTCACAGAGTAAACACAATAAAAACATGTATAATCTGCAGCATTTTTCATTAAAATGGAACAACACTATTAATATATTACAGAAAATATAGATATGGTATGCAGACTTAGTGATATGTAGACCATTACATTATGTAATACATTCAGGAAGTACTTTTACTTTTAATACTTAGTATTTTTAAAGCAAGTACTTATTTACTTTTACTTAAGTAAAAATGTCAATATGGTACTTCTACTTTTACTAGAGTACATTTTTGTCTGTTTATTTGTACTTTTACTTAAGTACAGTGTTTGAGTATTTTCTCCACCACTGATCATGGGGGATCCATACCCTGTAGACCCACGATAAGTTGATAAGTGAAAAATCGCGAAGTAGGAATAGTATTACAAGTAGTAAGTAGTAGTCTATACATATATATATATAGATATATATTTGTATATAAAAAGGCGTTTTAAACACTTCCCACACTCTTGCAATATTCTAAATGTTTCTAAACTCTAAACGCTCCAAAAGAGCACAGAATGTCATGATTTCAGCTCCCTGCCTCAAAGAGCACTCTTGGCCACGCCCACTTCTCAACTCTGCACGGAGAACAGCTGAACAGCTGCAGCAAAAAGTTTATCCTCCAGTATGGGCTGCACAACGGTGCAGGAGGAAGCTTTTTCTGCACACATGTGCAACAGGTGCTAAATTATTTAAAATAATTTATTGTAAATAAAAATTCTATGCCAATCGTGCGGTTCATCCATCAATCAGCCAATTGGGTGTCATGTCTAATCTTCAATTGAAAAACTGCGATAGAGCGAGTCTGCGATAAACGAACCACGAAGTAGCGAGGGACTACTGTAAACCCATAGTTTATTCTCAATAAAGCAAAGTAAACTTTTTTTCTTCTTACGGCCGCTCTCTTCTTCAGGGGTCGCCACAGCAAACTAATTCATGACAAATATAATCTAAATGTTTTGACAATCTGGAGAAATCTCTTTTTGGAAAGAATAAGTTTGAAATCCATCTTGAATCTCTGAGATCTTTAGGCTCTTCGGCAGCACTGCAATAAAAACTGTTCAGTTTTTTAACCAAACATCAGTGCATGAGGAGTGCTTAGGAGAACACCCACAAACTATTATCTGTAAACTCAGTTAGCTGTACTGTCAACAAATGCAGATAGAATTCAGAAATGCTACTGTCTTCTCTGGGCCATAGCTGATTTAATATGGACTGAGGTAAAATGAAAACAACAAAAAAAAAAGAATAATGTGGAATTAAAATCTATAGTGATACTAATATTACCTGCACTGATGACACTATGTTCAGATCAAACTGTTCAAATGGACAAAAAGAAGACAACCGTTTAGCTAAAACAAGATATTTAACGTCTCCAGTACCATTTCCACTCTTTTCTGTCAGCCTTGCAGGGTGAATTTTAATTTCACACTCTGTTGATGAGAACACACGCATGTAAACACTTAAACACGTCACTTAAACACAGGTATAAAAACAGAAAGATGAGAAGATAGGAAGTCTAGTTTGTTCTAAAATGGATCGACATGAGCATTCTTAAACGAGTATTTAATCAAGCGATGAGCGTAAATTACATTAGACATGCTGCTGTCACACTGATACAACTTTTGCATAACAATTTTTATTCTCTTTATGAAACTGAGCAGCCAAACTGAACAAAACCGTATGAACGTACAAAAAAAAAAAAAAAAAAAAAAGCTGTATTATATTATTTTAGTAGTTTAAATACTTCATATGAGGAAATGTCCTGTGAACTGCAGCCCTGAATCCTAATTGAACCACGCATTTTAAATTATTCATCTACGCTCAATTAATATTCTGGAGTGAATGTGACTGATCTATCTATAATAAGTAGAACTCAGAGGCGCAATGTAGATGACAGACAAAGCCGAGAAGGTGAATTAGGAGCATAAAACAGAATGAGAGGAAATTGATATAAACTGAACAAAAAACAGAAAAAAAAATTCCTCCTTAGAAAACCTTCTCATGCTCAAGTGTGATATGGAAATAAAGAATCTCAATAAGTGGGGTATGTGAAATGTTAAATATGAGGGTATGTTTGACCTGAGAACCAGAATGCAGGGGGAGGGGAAGTTATGCAGAGGTTGAACTGAAGGAGATTGCGATTCTGACTCTTTCGAAGGATCCTTTGATGTTTTGGCAGCCAAGGATGGATGGAGGATCAGCCTGTGGCCTCGCTGCATTAACCCTTTCACGCTCTGGGTACGCCCGCATCATGTCAGCGTCAGCACCAGCTGGCTTCCTGTATGGCCAGCATGATGCACAATCTCCACACGGTTGTTTTACAGTTGTGTTCCACAGAGCCATTATTCAAAACTTCAGTAGCGATTATCTCCATGCTTTGTTACATTTTCACAGCAGCAGATCTTATATTGATGCTTATTTTGAACGCCGGATGAATTTGTGGAGCATGAGCTCCAAGAACGTCAACTCAGACGCTATGTGGGATTCCCTATCAAGCAGCAGACAGCACAAAAATATGCATGATCATTAAGGATGGAAAGTCACATTTGCAGATTGCTGTCTGACTGTTTGATGCGCACGAACAAACCGATATAAATTACCATACTTGCCGCCGTATACGTTGCATCAGTTCAAAAATGTCTAATAAAGTGAAAAAAAAAACGCATAAATAAGTTGCTTTGCCATATAGGTTGCATCTATTACGTGTCACCGCTGACCACCCGGAAACATGGGCCTGTGTTGTGCCAAAAATCGATTGGCTGCCAAATGACGGTCACAGGAGCATGCATGGGAGGACTTTAACAAGAATTTAACAAGATTGTTTGTTCGACATTATAGTAAAGTTGCGTGTCAGTTTAACTTTTCTTTAATAAATGCACTTTAATGGTCAAGTCAGCTGCATTTCACCTGGGCGGCGCGGCAAAATGCAGCTGATTTGACATTTGCTCCAGGAGTTTCAGAGGAGACGAAGGTGG